ACATGGTCTCACACACAGACATGGTCTCACACACAGACAGGCAGACGCACACAAACACACAAAGGGAGCGCACCTATCTGAAAACCCTGCAAGCGTGTAGACCCACCAGAGCTGGAGAAGGCCGGAGGAACAATGCGATGCTCTCATGGTTTCCACTGTGAGCTGGTGCGGCTGAGGCTGGGTATTTTTAGGCCTGATGTCAGTTCTCTGCTCTTGTAAGGCCTGGATACACAGCAGTGGATCTCGGCCAGACCCCCCCCCCCCCCGGCTAAAGCCTTTACGAGAGAGAGAGCGAGGGGCAGAGTGGGGGAAGAAGAAAGGCTGCAGCCATAGCAGGCTTGATTCAAGAGGTTTATGGGTGGTGGGGGGTTGATGGTTTATACAGTGCATGTGTTTCAGTTATTGACGCGCCCGAATCCCCTCCGACAGCGACACACACCCCTCACATCGCGGGCCCAACAAACAACTCTGAGAACATGATTCCTGCGTAGCTGCTGGCTAATCTCCAAAATACTCTCCCTAAATAACTCACTGTCTCTCACTCTCTCTTTCCCTCTCCCAGTCTCCCTCTGATTTTCCCCTTCGCTGCGATACCTCTTCCTGACCCTCCGACTTGCCCTCTCTCCACTCGCGGCCTGTGATATTTTAGGATTAATCCCCACAGAAAACTGTTTCCATTTGCACTGAGGAGCTGTCTGGCCTCATTCAGACCTGTAGCGATAGTCATGGGATCTCAGTACAGGAACAGGATCTCAGTGGTCGGTTGCTGATGTTTAGAATTTTGCAGAAAAATGAAACACTTTTATATTCTTCTATTTTATTTCAAACAATCTGAGAAGAAGGTACATTTTAAATTAAAAACTGATGAATGTTAAACATAATTTTATGATAAAAACATTTAAAACATTTTTGAAACAGTCTCCAAGTCTTGTGTTTTCTTGTTTGTTTTTTTAAAGGCCCTGAAAACATTTGTTCCTCCATGAAATTCTTTCCTGACAAACAGAACAGTCGTGGTTATTTTATATTGGAGGTTTCAGTAGATGCATAGTTTTTATTTAGTATGCACTTTGTTTGAAGTGTGTGGGGCACATTGAGCACCGATCAGAATTTAGCAACATCTTTAAAATTGCAAGATTAGGGGTTCACCAGTTTCCGGATTCATGGATCTAGATGTAAAGAAAATCAGGCACATTGACACACTTAAAATTTGGTGCAGCTTGATTTAAGGAGACTGTTGGGTCTTGGCGGATGTATGAGCCCTACTGAAATGTTCTAGTTCAAAATGACTAAGTAGCTGTGTGGTTATTTAACAGTTGAGTCTCTTGATGAATAACACCTAAGTACGTTTAACCACACTAGCAGCCTTCAGCACCATTTTAATTTGCAATGAAATCTGGTGCAGATTCTCATGCAGCATGCTGATTGAGCACAAAGTGTCACTGCAGCCTCATGGAACAGCAACCATGACTTATTTACTTATTTTAAATACTCTAAGTGATCCCAGGCTGTTTTTTGATGTATATATATATATATATATATATAAAAGTAGTTGGTCAGATATGTGTAAAAAGTTTTCTGCTTCTTGTGTTTGTGTGTCTGCATATCCAGAGGCTGACCATCCCCACCAGCTGTCCTGTAAGTTTTGCTGAGCTGATGAGGAAATGTTGGCAAGCAGATCCAAAGGTGAGATAAAGGAGGATACAATGATTTTCTTATAGAAAATGAAAGTACACCTCACTTATAAAGATAGTAAAAACTAGTATAATGTGTAGTTATTTTGAGCTGTGTGCATGCATTCACCTGCAGGAGCGTCCGCAGTTTAAGCAGATGCTGGTAACCCTGGAGGCCATGGCACATGACAGCAGATTACCGGACCAGTGTAATTCCTTCTTACATAACAAGGACCAGTGGAGGTACACAAAAACAAACACACAAAAACAGTTCTGCATGCATACAGAATAAAACAGTGATTGTATATGAGCATGAGGCATCTCTAATTTCTATACGGTGAAGTTGTGGTCGCTTGTCAGACAAACAAATGTGGTTTACTGTACATCACAGTAAACACGCACGCACACACGCACACACACACACACACACACACACACACACACACACACACACACACACACACACACGTATACATGGCTCTGTGGACTCTAAAGCTCAGGAGAGAAGCTGAATGTGTGACCCTGTGCTCTACTTCAGTCTATTAATAAGCTCTCTGGAAAGTGTCCATGAAAGAGATTCCTCTACTCCACTCTGCCCTCACCCCGTCACAGGGAGAACGACAGGCGACAGAGGGGGCTTCAGGGGGTGGGGGGGCAGAGGACAAACTGAGTGTGCACCTAAGAAGAGGAGAGAGGGTTCAGGGAGGAACAGAAATGTATTGGGTCTGTGTGAACTCTAAAACACAGAGAATAGAGGGGGGGAAACAAGAGTGGACAGATGACAGGGGTGAGACAGGGGAGAGAGAGAGTGAGTGAGAGAGAGAGAGAGATGGTTGGTGGATGGAGCAGAGGAGAGAGGGTGTGAGATTCTGTGCATATTTAGCATGAGTACAGCGAGGCAATCAATTCTCAGTGAAGTTTTGGGTACGGGTGGAAAAACTTGGACAAGGAGAGGGGGAGGAGGAGGTGAGGAGGAGGAGGGGGTTAGGAAAAGTGAGGGAGGTGAAGGGGCGGGATGAATGAAGAGGGAGGGATGGCTGGAACATAGGAGGAGGTATGGCTGTGTGTCAGATCTCTCTCTATATTTAGTTTGTGTGAGAGCTGATTGTGTTTGTGAATGCAGACTCTTACACACACACACACACACACACACACACACACACACACTAACTCCACCACTGACCTCTTGTGGCAATAGACAGCACTGCAGTCAAATATTGTTCACCTGGTGCCATGGATAACTTTTTGAAAACATAATAATTCTGCAAGAAAAGTAAACTAATTATGTCACACTGATCTCAGTGAACACAGCATGTGTTGGATTTTCAAAGCAAGTAAATGATTAAGTAAGAAATTAAACAAATAAGTAATAAGGAAAGATGGAATGAAGTAAGGAAATAAGTGAGTAAGGCAGGAAAAATGAGGAAGTAAGATGGAATTAAAGAAGGAACTAAAGAACTCAGTAAGGAAGTAAGTAAGTTTGGAAGTGAGGAAGGAATGAAGTAAAGAAGGAATGAAGTAGGGAAGGAAGGAAGGAATCATAGATGGAATTAAGTAAGGAAGAAAGAAAGGAGGTAAGGAAGGAAGTAGGCAATGTTTATTTAATATAGCACCTTTCTCAGAGTAATATCACAAGATCCTTCTTATAAATAAAATACCACCAAAATGTAGTAATACGCATAAATCTATGCAACAAAAACTGAGAGAAAATACAAACACATGGATTCAAACATGACAGAGCTCATGATGAGACTTAAGTCAGTGTGAATAAATGGGTTCTGAATCCTTTTTTTAAAATGAATCCTGCAGGAAGTGAATCTGTAGGGAGAATATTCCGTCATTTTGAGTCCACAAGGTTAAAAGCACAATCACTTTTAGTTTTTAATCTGGGACGTGGCTATGACCAGTAAATTCTGGTCAGACCTGAGTGACCTGCAGTGGCTGTTTGAAGGAAGCAGCTCAGTGATGTGAGCAGGAACCTTTCCATGCAGTGCTCTATTAGTTAAAACTATTCTCTCAAAATGAGCCGTCTAAACATCTGAATAAATGACATAAATGAATAATATATTTTAACATCAGCTGAAGTTTCTTTGGTACAAGTAGCTTTTTGAAACTGAATCTGTAATCTGTCATCTTGTGGCTGCAGTGAAGTTGCACCACACATGCAGAAGGTCCCAACAGCTCACTGACGTTTTGTCTGTGCTCTACCTGCAAATACCACAGGTGTGAAATTGAGTCGACCTTGGAGCGCCTTCGCAAGCTGGAGAGGGAACTTTACTCCAAAGAGAAGGAGCTGGAGGAGCGGGAGAGGAGGCTCCGACTGTGGGAGGAGCGGCTGATGGAGAGGTCCAACATGACGCCCAGTCCCACCTCCTTACTTATGGAGCGCTCAAACATCTCACCAGTGAGTCAATGTAGAATGAAATACATGTAATGTCATCCAATAGCTTCTTATGACCTTGACCGTCCTCTGCTTCTCCTCCTTCACCTGACTAACAGTTCTTCACCCCCATGTCCATCGGCTCCTCTGGTGCTTTCTTCCGCTCGCACTCTCAGGACTCCAACAGTACAGGGGTCAGCAGTGCCGGCGTCAGCAGTGCCGGCGTCAGCAGTGCCGGCGTCAGCTGCCTCCTCCGCACCCTCAGCAACGGAGACACAGAGAGGGGGAGCAGCGCTGGGCTGGAGAGAGGGATGGGCTCACTTGACAGCGGGAGGCTACATGCCATGCTCCGGGGGTTACAGGGGAGGTTCGGAGAGGAGGTGGACGAGGAAGAGGAAGGGACTCTGGAGGAGAAAGGCTGGGGGCAGAGGGAGAGACCTGATAGTGGGAGTCTGGAAGGAGGAAGAGTGCAGGTGACGCTCCGTAGCTTCCCAGGTGGCGTGGTGGAGAGGGAGGAGAGGACATGGGAGGAGGGGGACAGGGAGAGAGGGGGCATGCAGAGGAGCAGGGTGACGACCATAGTCCGAGGATACTCAGGTGGGTTTGGAGAGGCAGAAGGGGAGAGGGAGAGGGAGAAGGAGAAGGACAAGGAGGGACCGTGGGAGATAGAACTCAATGAGAGAGGAATGGAGGGAGGGATTGAAGGGGGACGGCTCCCAACCATGTTCAAGGGTCTCCACGGGGGTCTGGGGGGCTTGGGGGACATGCTGTCCTTAGACATGGATGACATGGGAGACATGGAGAGACTGGGGGACATGGACATGAACATGAACATGGGTGACCTGGGGGTGAAGGTGGTGGGTCAAGGAGTCAGGAGTGAGCTGGGGGTCAGGGGTCGCAGGAGTGACATGGGAGTCGTAGTCCAGGGAGTCAGGAGGGGGGACCTCAGCGAGGCCATCAGCCAAAAGATCAGGGGCGAGGTGGGTGTCCTCGGCCACTCGGGGGTACAGGTGAGCATGCGGGCTTCGTCCAATCAGAACTCTGTGAAGAGCTGCAGCGTGCGGCACGGAACCAAGATTAACATGGCTACTGCTGCCATGGACATGATGGAGCTCGACTGGTCTGACAGTGACTAGGAAACACACACACACACACACACACACACACACACACACACACACACACACACACACAGACACACACGGAGGCCAAACTAGATGATTTTGACTCGTCAGCACATACAGTATCCGAGCTACAGTATGTGCAGTAGAATCTCCAGTTGAAAACGAGCTGGTACACACACACATTTGTATTGTTAGATTTTTTTATTGAATGGATGAATACTACACCCATGTGTACTGTGAAGAGTGATGGAGCAAAAAGACAATTTGACGTTGTCTTGTAAAGTTGACAGAATGATTTCACCTGTGTAATTGAATGTGCTATTAGAACTGATGCATAACATACTGTAAGAGGTACAAGTGTTACGAAATAACACACTTGAACGCCGCTCTAATGAAGCAGCACTGTCAGATACGTTTTTCCTCCTGCTTGTAGAGAATCTTGTAGTTTGTAGATTTGATTTGTTCAAAACAGGCTTTGACTTTTATCAGTTCTAACTGTGATCTAGCGCGTGATTCTTTTTGGCATTTCTCTGTATATTTTATCCTTTTTCAATAAAAAGAAAAGAAAGCGATTCGGTTCCTGTGATTTTGCTCTGCTAGAGTTTGTCTCCGTCCTCCAGTAAAACGTTTATATTGCACCCAGTAAATAAATCCCTCTTAACCTCTGTCTCGCCTCCTGACGTCTCACACACTGAGTAGCAGAGCCACTCCGGCCAGAACCCACTTGGCGGGCCGCTCCTTGGTTTTGAGGCTGAAAGTCCAGACAAACGTGGGCCCTCTGATCTTGGTCTTGTAGAGTGGACACTTGTAGATGTTCCTGGTCTCGTGGCGGTCAGTGGGCACAGCTCGCACTGAGATGACAGGCATCGAAGGGGTCAGTTCCTTCAGATGCGCCTCAGTGATCACCCCAGACTGAATGTCCCATCTTGCACCTGTGGAAACACGTGGGTTAAGAGGAGAGGAAAGGGCCGCTTTTTCAAAATAAAGAGGAAATCAAAGACAGTTGTCTACCTTCCATGTAAAGCCCGTACACGTATGCGCCCTCTCTGGCAGGCTGGTTAAACTCTTCCTTAAACTTCTTGGTCACGTCCACTGTCAGGTTCACTTTATCCAGGGGCCACTCATTCTTACGCGCCAGAGACTGCATCACAGCTGAAAAACAGGAAGAGAGGACAGAGAATAAATTAGCTCCATCTTCAAAAATAAAAGACCTAAAACTGTGATATGAAGGAAATAAACATTGAGATTATATGATGTGTTTGAGAACTTACAGGAAGAAAAAGCAAAAAAGGAGGAGAAACAGAAGAACCTGCAGATAATGCAGATACATGTGCTCAGGTGCATGTGCATACAAGTACAGTATTAGTCCATGGTCTGTTTTTCTTTCCGTGTGCACAAATATGTGTTTACCTGTAAGAAAAGACTGAGGGTTGAAAAGTCCAGACAACCAGACTACACTGGGCAGAGACAGATCCTGAGTCCAAGTGTCCAGTTCTTTACAACGCTGCAGCACGTCATTGTACCTGACACACACACACACACACACACACACACACACACACACACACACACACACACACACACAAATGGCATTAGAATGCATGCAGTAGATACATCCTCAATATTTACATTACTATGCCCAATTGGACTCCACAGAATTAACTCCTTATGCACAAAACATTACAACAATAAATCACATCCTCAGCAGTATTACAATTATATAACTCAAAACAATATTCACACACATGGACACACCATATAGCCAGGCTGTAGATGGAGGGGTAAGCAAGTTTGGTCCAGGTATCGGGGACATTGTCAAAGAACAAGGCCGTCTGCAGCTTCTCCATCTCAGAGGAGATCGCCAGTTCACCCTTAGGAAGACACATGTCCCTGTTCTATCATCATGAAAACACCAGCAAGTGCTACATCTACTGCAGCAATGAATCAAAATCTATTAATCATCATGAATTAATTAACCACATAGAATTAGTGTGATGTGAATATATCTGCACTGTATGGCATTTCAAGACTAAAAAACAGCTTAAAATAACTGCAAAGAAAACCTCCCCAACTTAGAAAAGTTTGCAGAGCCTGCAAATTACTGAATTTAAACACAGTAAATGTCCTGCAGCTTTTGTGTGGCTGCATGTAATCACATGAGAGAAATCTTAAATGATGATGTAAAAAGTTTTAATTGTCAAAGTGCACACAAAGCTTATGGTTTTAGGAATTCTTGAAACATAAATATATTATTAAATAAATATAAATACTGTGTAGGCAAACCTTGAGTCCTAAGTCGAGCTCCTTGAGTGAGCGTCGTATCTCAGAGATGAGCATGTTCATGCGCTCACACTCCTGGAAGCAGACCAGGATGTACGGGGACCGCTCAGCGGTTTTAGAGGTGATGTCGGACATATTGTAGTCTTCTGGTAACTTTTCCAGAACCTCGTCTAAAATATTTTTCACCTAAAGGTTGGTTAAGTTGTTAGATTTGCTGAAATTTAAATCTGCTATGGTGTTAAAAAAGAATTTGAAGTAATAAAACATATACCAGTATCTGTATGTGTTTACTGGGCTTGAAAAGAGGCCTAGAGCCGAGGCGTCTAATAAAACTTAATTACAGTCAAGAAAAAACAAACAAATCCAATCCAACCTTCTCCTCCAGCGTCTGGGAGTTTCCCTCCCCCATCACAGCATCAGGAGACTGCAGCTCCAGCAGAGTGTGAAAAAGATTGTCTGATGTCACTGTCAGGAACTCAATTTCTGCGTTGGGATGCAACCCATAATGCACTGGGCTCTCATGGGGCAGCATCTCATCTATGAAGTCATGGTAGCCCTGGAAATAAATTCAGGATAATTGGATACATTTCCACCACTTTTTCACAAGGAAAATGTATCAACCCAAGTCTCATTAGACTTGAGAGTCTTAACATGGAGTGAGACATGCGTCATGTTGAGTCTTGGCAAAGACCCAGATAAACAAATTGTGTCTTTTATTGGTTAAAAAAAACAGTGGACATTTCATAGACTGTTGCAGTTGCTCGAGTTGTTCACATTCTAGCCTTTGACGCTGTGTCACTGATGCTATCAAAGTCAATCAACTGGGCTGATTCCAAAAGTTGAGTATGTACCATTAATTTACACGCCTGCATTTATGGACATAGGGTCCAGGTTGGAAAATACCAGAATTCCACTTGAGATTCCAGAGATATTTGGTGAATGCGCTGCCCTTGTGGAAGCTAAACTCTTAACTTTTATCTATCCAGGGACAGCTGACTGAGCTCACTTCACACCAGTTATGAGTTAAGTTTCCTCAGACTTGATCTGTTTCCAGTCACCTGATAGTCCAGGTTGGAGGGGACGACAAACCCAGGACCCAAAGCAAGCTTCCGATCAAACTGGTAGATGGAAAACAAAAAAAAAACATTGTTAGCATCAGATCTCTAACACAGTTAAAAACATAAAAAAGACCAACCCAGGCAGCCAACATTGCTTGGTAGTCTAAATGTGGCATTGCTGGTTGCAAGACCCTCCTCAGCTTGTATTTGCATTCTCTGGCTCAAAAACTGGCAAAACTGCTCCTAACTGGAGCTGATTCTCAACTCAAACTGCCCACTCTCTAGAAAACACAGTTAAGGCAAGTGGCCATATTTGCACCAGAGCCAGGTCACATTTGGTTGTCTTGTGAACTTGAGCCTTTGTACAGACCTGGTTGGGCTGCATGTATTCCTCCAGGTATGTTCTGCACAGACGTCTGTCCCAGTCATCAGTGATGTGTCCTCCGTACATGATCTCCCCAAACAGATACCTCAGGTCCTCCCATGGCACCTGCATCATCATAGTCAGTATAAAAAATCCCTGTCAGTAAAATCTTTTAATCATGTTGTGACACACTATTCACTGCACACCCTAGACCTTCACTTACATGTTCTCTTTCTCCTACTTAAACACCATCTTACCCCAACAAGACGTCCTACCTGTGTGTTCGCCTCCAGGTAGTTGTAGAGGACGTTTACTGATATCGTCAGGTCTCCAGTGTTGAATGGATACTTTCTGTTCCAGCCCTGAGGACCAAACTTCCTTCTCTCTGCCACACAGGCGTGAAAGTAGCACAGAGAGAAGAGAATGGTCTTAAACTCCTGCTCACGGCTGCACTGGTCCAGGATGTCCTAGAGAGGGGCCAATAAATGAATTAGAGTGTTGACTGTGTGTTACAGTGCAAACTGTTGAGTAGGAGCAGTCACTTAAAGCTGACCTGGTCAAAGTTATCCAGAGCAGAATGCAAATTGGCATGCATGCCCGTCGGAGGTTCATTGGTGATCTTGATTGCGTTTTCTAGAATGCCCTGAGAAAAAAAATTTAAGATCTGTAATTAGTGCCACTGTAAAAGTGCAGAACTGTAATCATCAGAGTAGCAGTAAAGACACCAGGGAGCGGACCTTCATTATATGATTATGTTATTAGGGTTAGGGTGCATGTGCACTGTATCTCTACCTGTGGGATAATGTGTTCCTGAGGTGTTGGTGCTGGCTCTGCGCTCATAAACACTCTGTAGTCAGGATGACTGTCCGCACAGCAGCGCTCCAGGAGCTTCTCAAGTGAACCCAGCCAGCGACCGACCAGGTGGATGTTCTGAAAGCAAATGGAATGGAAACCCAAGATAAAAATTCAATATCACTTATAAAAAAAAATTTCATTCATGAACTATTGAATAATTAATTTTAATTCTGTTTATTCACAACTGAATGTATTGGCATTTTATAAAATATAATTTTTATCAAGAATTAGTAGGAAATCCATCCTCTTGCATCCAAACCTGCAGTATAACCCAGTGGCCCTCCTTGGCAGCCTTTTCCATGGCAACCTCTGCCACAGCTTCCTGGCCCTGACCCAAGGACACGTTATGAAGTTTCCCAAGGTCGATAGTGAAACCCAGCTTCCTTCCTGACAACACACAAGGATGATTTTTTAAAATCACAACACAGACGAAAAAAACACACTAACCTCAGGAAGCAAGGACTTGCTCTGTTGAAATTATATTTACTGTGAAAAATATCTTTTATCTTTCCAAATAATATTCACTTTTCCAATATGCTTTATCACTTTATATCTTAATTTTCTTTTTTATGTATTTTACAACATTTTATGATATAAGCATTTATTTAGAGGCAATTTTAAACTGCTACTGTCACTGCATTGTATAACAATGATCATTGCGTGTATGTGAAGTATTGGGTGCATGTTTTGTACCCAGTGATTCCACATCTTTAAGTGGGTCTACTCCAGGAGAGAGGATGAAGAACACAGGTGAAGCTGGACCACTTTCTCTGAAGGACTTTGCAAACTCTGTCTTCCTGCCCTCTGTGTATTTAACACTGAGCTTCTCCTCCACAAAGTTCCTAGAGTTTGATGACACAAAGATTAGAAAAAGCCTGGGTTTACTGAAGAGTGACAGAAAAGTGGAACTAAAGGACAATAAACATTGTGGGTGGGAAAAGACAACAATCCTCTGCACCTGAGAGCATAGGTCATACGGTCAGGTCTCAGAGCTCTCATCATGATGAGT